GCTATTTAAAGCGCCCTTCTTTCTCCGCGCTTGCTGTTGTCGCCCTGTTGATGACATCAGCTACGCGGTTTCGTCGAGCGCGCTTTAGTCGAACACTGTTTTGTGGTGGAACCCAACAATAGGACCTCCCAGGCCCAAAGGTACCCAAGAAGCTACTGCAGAAGTACAAGGATTTCCAGTGGGTAATCCAATATTAATGGCACACCTGGGTCAAATCTAACAGGAGTCCCAGATGCTAATGCAACCGTTGGTGAAAGCAAGAGTCTATGCTACACAAAGACAGATTGGATAGCAATGTGGAATGCCTGACAAATGAGCAGGGTAAATTGGATACCATCCAATAGGAGATGGTCCAGTTGAAAATCAACCTTCTTGGCACTACTGAGATACACTGGATAGAAAATGGATATTTGCCATCAGAGGAATTCACTATTTATTACATGACACCAGGAAAACAAATGGAATGGCATTTATCAAACGCAATAAATTTGCCCAGGTAATGGAAAGTTTGTTGACAGTTAATAATTGCATTATGGGTATCTGAATCTGAGCCAAGCTCCTCAAAATCACAGTTGTTCAGGTCTATGCCCCAATTACTGATGCAGCAGAGCTTGAAATAGAGGGTTTCTATGCCAGCATAGAAAAACCTCTGAAGCACATCTCCAAACAAGACATTGTTTATATACTGTGTGATTTCAATGCAAAATCTGGCACCCAAGCAGAACGAGGCATAACTGGCAGCTTTGGATTTGGGGAGAAGAACCATGCAGGCAATTATTTGGCTAAATTTTGCCATGAAAATTGATTTTGAATCATGAATACCTGGTTCTGCTTATACTCCTGGACCTCACGAAATTAGGTGCATAATCAGATTATGGCCTATGCAGCCATCAATGGTCAAGTTCAATCCTCGCTGGCAAGAAACATCTCGATGCTGATTGCAGTTCAGATCATGAATTGTGGGTGGCTAAGATCAAAGTCAAATTACACTACTTCAGAAAGACACCACCATCAAAGAAGTTTGACATCATCTAAATTCCTTTCAAGTATGCAATTGAGAATGAAAATAGACATTGCTTGACGTATGGTGACAAGAAATTCAAATGATCATCTTTGCAACAGTAGCTGAACACATAACATATAAGAATTTATATGATTTTATTGTGATTTTACACGAACATAAGCACACAACACACAAGAGTTTTATCTTCATGTTGTAAGCCATCCAGAGTGGTCTGAAAGTGAGATGGGTGGCAAACTGAATAAACAAAATAAACAAAAGAAGCCACAGAAAAAGCACAAGACTTGTGTCACAGGATGGAAAATGACCAGTGCTCATTCCATTGCCAAAAAAAGGGCAACTCCAAGGATTGTCCCAGTTACCACACAATTGCAGGTTTGAAGATTGTTCCAACACAATTCAAGCTGTAAATTATTGAATTTTTTAAAAAGGAAATAAAAGACAAGGAGAAAAAATTGTTTTGTCCCTTGACCAAGTCCAATAAGTTATTTATGAAACCAATAAAGGAGAGTATTTGTAGCTCAGGGTTAAAATGAGGGGCCCTTGGTGCTCTCTGAGCTTGTTTTCTTGCAGACATATCATTATCCAAACTAATGACATCAGTGCTATGGTGTTACCTACTTTGGATAATGAAACGTCTGCAAAACAAGCAAGCTCAGAGAGCACCAAGGACCTCTCAACTTATTTATGCTGACTCTATGCATGAATTCATATAACATGGTGTTACAAATAAGCCAATCATATTTTTGCATTGTAGAGCATCTGAACTCTCAAGTTGAAGAGAAAAAATGTCAGAATCTACATTCTTATAAATGGAACGTCAAAAGATAAGCTCCTACAACATACAGTACTTTATTATACCAGATACTTCTCTCATACGTATCCTGAACTAGAAAACTGAAGAAACTATAGACAGCCCCAGCTAAACCAACACACCTAATTTTGTTTCCTCCTCCCATTTTTCCCACAATCACCCTGTAAGGGGAGTATGGTTGAAAGAGAGTGCCGGGCTGAAAGTCACCCAGCCAGCTTTCATGCCCAAGGTGAGACTATAACTCACAATTTCCTGGTTGAAGCTCATTGACTGAATTATCAGTTTGATTTTAGAAAATGGCTATATTGTAGCTGAAGCTGCTGGAGACAATGTCTGTCCTACCTCCTTTGTTTGGCCATATGTGTACACACAAACAAAATAGTTGCAGACGCCTCAATGTTACAGAAAAGCTCTTCTCTATTTTGTGCCAAAAATGGATGAGAGAATAAACTCAAGATGGACCCAGTTTATATGCCAAGCCTATCATTAGGTAATATTCAGTAAAACAATAGGCATAAAGATGACAGTGGAGGTCCGGCACTGATCCTTCTCTGAAAATAAAATAATTTCTGATTAGTTGCCAGTGACTTGATATAAAATATACTAATCTGGCCAAGAGTAGAAAGCCTTCATATCATGACGAAGAACTATAAAAGAATTACCGTAGCATATGGCCAAGATTCCATCAAGTAAGCATATTTGGACAATTTAGCTGATTGAATCAGACTATGTCTTGATTTATTCAACAAACCACGGCTAATAGCTTATCAATGTGAACTCGAACAGTGGCTTATTCCATAAACCACTGTTAAACCATGGCTGTAATCCACTCGCAAACTGGGTTATTGCTTTAATCTGTCATTTTACAATTAAAGGAGTTAAAAGGTAACTTTGAATCATTTGTCCCATTTTGTAATTTCCATTGCTGAAAAAGAGAGTTGTAGTTCAACAAGGAAAATATAGTACTGATTATCGCTAAATGTCAATGGAGATTCTGAGTCATCCAGGTCATGGTTGCCCCAAAGGTGCTTTTTCAAGAGGCAATTGGAGTTTCTGATTTTTCTTTGAAGACTCTGAGAGAGCTGAAGAAGCTTCTTGGATGAGAAGCCAAAGGTCTTGAAAAAGCACCTTTGGGACATAGTACTGATTACATTCCACTTCTTTAAGGAAGTGAAAACAAGAGTGTTAGGTTAGAAGGGGGCCCACAGGAGGCCTCGAAGAAGGGCTGTCCTTGGACCAGGCGAGCATCATATGTTTGCTACCGGGGAATCGAGGACCCATGAACGCCAAAGGATACGGACTTACTTCGGTGGATTGAAAAGGAGCGGGCGCGTACAGACGCGCGAAGGGAGAGGATGGTTGCCTCTTATTTTATTTTTTGCTCAGGGCTCTTCGCAACAAAAGGAGCACGAGGCGCAAAGGACGGAGACTCAGTCTGAAAACGGGACAACGCCCGTGTGATGCTGTCGAGGCCTCCACCTTTGGGAAGAGGAACAATAAAACCCTCTTCCACGCTTCACGCATTCCCACAACGCTGCGGGAATGTTGAACTGCTCCCGAAACGTAGGCCACAAACCCAGAACCCGGGGCTGGTAATGCATTGGGCGGAGAAATTTCGGCGCGCCCGAGAGCTTCGAGTGAAGCAGGGGAGCAAAACAGCAATGTGGCGCTTTAAAGCACGAGAAATGTCAAACGGGCTCCTCCCGTATATCCGCTCCCTTCTTTTGCAAGGCGAGTCCCTGCATTTGGTGGCGGCCGGAGAAACCCCGATTCCCCCGCCACGCTCGAGCCTCGCGAACTGTTCCCGCAAGTAAGCGAAAGCGGCAAGCGCGAGACAAATGAAGGGAAACGGGGCGGCGGGGTGGGGGTGCGAGAAAAGAAAGGAGGGAAGAGATCGGAGCGGAAAAAAAAGGAAAACGGGAGCCACCAAGAGCACGTGACAAGCTGCAGGCGAAGAGGAGGTGTCGCGCGGGCTAGCACCGCGCCTGCGCCCCCCTCCAGGCGCGCCGACGACGTCACATGGGTGCGTGCGCACGTTTCTCTCCATCGGGTAACACGATTTGGCTGTGAATATAGCAGGAAGGGGGAGGGGGTTACATCGTCCCACTCGCGATCGCACGGTAAAAGCGGACGAGGGGGAGGAAGGGCGGACACCGGGCCTATATGTGTGTGCGGGCGTGTGAGGGGGAGGGAAGGGGAGAGGAAGGGAAGGGCGGGAGAGAACTTTCCTCGGCTCTCCTTCCAACCGAGGAACGAATCGCGCGCAACTTTCCGCGTGTCTCGCATACCTCCTGCTCTCGCTCTCTCTCTCTCTCAGGGCTGCCAGCTGAGAATATTGCCACCCGTTGTCCCCCTCCACCCGCCCCCCGCCGGCCACGAGCGTCGTGTCGAAGCCCTCGAGGGGAAGTGGGGGAGGGGGAAGGGAACGGGCGGGAGCCGCGCGGCGCCTCGCGCGTGTCAGGGAGGCTCCCTCGCGCTACACGCGGAGCGACGTTTTTCGAGGCGCCATCGCGTGCGGAGCCCGGAGCTGCGTCTGCACTGCCGCTGCCGACCCCTCGCTTTGCGTGGGACGGTGTTACCCGGTGGCCTTCGGAGAGGGTAACGTGCCTGTGGTACGCCGCACGCTTGGGCGGCCGCTGAGTCTCGGAACGCGCGCTTCTGCCCTTTTCGGGCCTTCGGTGTTTGTTTTTTTTCTTCCCCCTAACGCTGGTTTTCCCGCCGTTGCTTTTCACCGCCAAGCGCCCCCTTTGTTGACTCAGCCGCGCGTGGGGGGCGGTTTAGCTGTGCGTGGGAACCGCGTGGGTTACCCCCACCTCGGCCCAGAGCCCTGCGCTGCTTTAAAGGTAGGGGCTGCAGGTGGCTCCGAGCCACAACAAACGGGGGGCTTCCAGTCTAAAAGCACAATTTCACACTCCACCGGTTTGCTCAGTTTTTAATCATTCGGTGTAGGGTTCCAACTTAGGAAAGAGGCCTTGTGCCCCGAAGCCTTGTGATCAAGTTATTCATAGGTAAACGTGTCGTGCCAGCGCGGCCATAAAGCTGCGAGGAAACAATACCTGGAGAGACAGGCGGTCAGTCTACAAACTGTCTTTGGGAGCAGGTGACTCTTCTAGGATGACTAGTGGGAGAAAAACTCTGCAAACCTGAACCAAAAGTCTAATTAGGGTACTGAATCTGGACTGCAAAACACTCAGATGACCGCTAAATGTACCTAAGTGTAGAAAATCTATATTTCAAATATATTAAAATATTTCATTGAGTCCTGTTACTACTACTGTGATCTTGTAGTATTAGTGGTTCCTATGAATGAGTATGATAGAAATAATTAATACAATTGGCTCTTTGGCAGTTTTGATACAATGTAATAACATTCCACAAACCATAAGGTTGGCTGTTGAAAGTCAACCTTAATAAATGTGCTTTGAAGTAAATGTTTATGTTCAAAGGCTGAAGCAAAATAAAGCCTAAGTGACATGCAGAGATTCTGGCGTATTTGGCAAATTAAATTATAAACACATGATTCAGTGCAAAGGGCAGATTCAGTGACTGATACAAGGTCATGTCTGTAGATTTTAATGCATAATTTCCTGGTTTCCCCATTCAGTATATATATAAAAATTCTTTAGGGAAAAGTGATTTTCTTTTATGAAATGAGTGTCAGCCTTTGAGTGATCAATTTGGTATGTTCAAAGCTGTAGTAGGGATAGTCATTTCTTTTTTTCCAAAATTAGGTATACAATATTCAACATGGTAGACTTCAAATTATGCTCATCAGTCCAAGTGGCTTATATATATTTTAGTGGAAAAGCATTCTGTTAAGTTAGAATAGATGATATGTGAATTTGTTTTACCAGTGGAAAAGTCCAGTTTTGAATAAAATCTGACAGTGCTGTGTGGCATGTTTAATTTTTTTTAATGAGCCCATCAATTTTGTGTGTGTGTTTGATTCTTGTAATTTGGTGTATTTAATGTAAAGTAATATAAAGTTGCATAAATGTATTTTTGGAAATTTAAAAAAAATGTAACATTTTAATATGGCTGGCTATTGCTCTTTCTGCTTGTATACGGTTTTGGTTTTGCATAACTATTTCAGATGTGCTTTTTCTTTTAAAGATACAGTTCTAGAAATAAAATATATTGGCTTTTATCTGGTTTAACAACTAAGAACGGAACAGATGGAAGGTGATTGTTTTGCCCCTATCTCTGCTAGTTCATTGCCAGTGCATTGGGGAAGCTGGCTGAATAGAGTGAACTACTTTCAGAGTGGCTTCCTTCCCTGTATCCCATGCCTGGTACCATTCCATTTAATGTAGTGTTCTGTTGGGAGGTTCCTTTCTATATAAATGTTTATTTGGATTCAGCTTTATTTTCTTTACTCTTATCACAAAATTCAGTGAGCTTATTAAACCAAAAAGTGTGGTTTACAAACAATAGCTGAAGTCATGTAACAATTTATGGTATGGTTAGTTCCTTACACCCACACACACACACGAATGACAGGGTCTTAATTTCTTTTGATCCCCGAAATAAATGCTTGGCCTTATTTTCGGGGAGGTCTTATTATTTTTGAGGTGCAGGAGGCAGCGAGCATGGTCACCTCATGGCTGCTGCTGTGTTACAATATTTTGGGGAAGGAGTTATTTTCGGGGGACAGCTTATTTTTTAGCACATGCGCTCAAAAGCCTGATTGGGCTTATTATCTGGGGAGGTCTTATTTTCAGGAAAACGGGGTATATATAATGGATTTATTAGCATCAGATAGAACTTTTGTAGTTTCTTTGTACCATTTTGAAAGATATAATATGTAAACAGTAACAACTGGAGGAGTTGTTGGTCAGCACCCAAATCAGTCATGGTCAGAAGCGTTCATGACCCGAGGTTTTACTGTACCACATTTGCTTTGCTTGCAATTTTGCATTCCTTCATAATATTAATAAGACATGTTTTTCTTTTCAGACTCTTAGCAATTTTTTTCAGAGCTGATTACTGTGGCTTTGTCAACTAGCTGGTTTAAAAATGTGAAGTATAGGACCAGCAAGTATAACCAGCAATTGTCTGTGCAGGTGGTCCTTGATTTACAACCACAATTGAGCCCAAAATTTCTGTTGCTAAGTGCGACATTTGTTAAGTGAATTTTGCCCCATTTTATGATCTTTCTTGCCAGAGTTATTAAATGAATTACTGCAACTGTTAATCTAGTAATATGATTGTTAAGTGAATCTGGCTTTCCCATTGACTTTGCTTGTCAGAAGTTTGCAAAAGGTTATCTCATGGCCTCAGGACATTACAACCATCATAAATATGTCAAACAGTTGCCAAACATTTAAATTTTGTTCACGTGACTGTGGGGAAGCTGCAACAGTTGTTAAATGTGAAAAACGGTCATAAGTCACTTTTTGAGGGTTGTTGTAATTTGAAGGGTCACTAAATGAGCTGTTGTAAGTAGAGGACTACTTGTATTTGGTATACTAAGCATTTAACATAGAGGCCAAGCCTAGTCTCTCCTCTCTGAGTTTGGGTGTTTCCCTATGTTGTTCTCTTGTGTACTTCTAAGAAGAATTTTAGAATTTGTTATCTGAACATAGATAATTTGGTTAATGTCAAAGAAAATTTAAAAAGGCACTAAATGAACGTTTAGGAAGCTTGTTTTCCCTACACATAATTAATCTGTAGAATTGAAATTAACTATATTTTATAATCTAAATGGAAGTAGAACTTCTTAGTCAATCTGTGGCTGTCCTAGATTGGAGGGAGGACTGCAAGAGGGTATGAGCCCAGTAAGAGGCTTTGCTTTTTTCTTGTAATGTTGAACTACAGCTTAATATTTGAACCAAGACACTGGAATGTGAAACATTTGAAAATAGTAATGTTTTGAAATTTGAGAGGACAGAAGGTGATTTTATTTTGTAGCCATACCGTAAACATAAATAAACGTTAATGGGACCATGACATGGTCTCCTGTACTATTCCCCTTTTTAGTTCTTGGTTTCTCTGAATCAAATTGTAGCATATTATATAGCTGATAACTCAGGGCAAAAGTGGAAGAACTTTTTTTATCAGCTTAGTTAAAATCAGAATTTGATATTTACCTGCGTTTCACTGTTAGGATGAGTTGCAGTGTAAGCATACACTAAAATATGATTTACTTCACTAAAACATCCTCAACATTTATCAATTATAAGTAGTCTTCAACTTGCAACCACAATTGAGCCCAACATTTATGTTAAGTGAAACATTTGTGAAGTGAGTTTTGCACTATTATGACTTTTCTTGCCACAGTTGTTAAATGAATCACTGAAATTGTTAAATTAGTAACATGGTTGTGATGTGAATCTGACTTCCCCATTGACTTTGCTTGTCAGAAGGTCACAGAAGGTGATCACGTGGCTCCAAGACACTGCAACCGTCATAAACATTTGATGACATATCCACAGGGATGCTGCAACAATCATAAGTGAAAAATGTCATAAGTCACTTTTTTCAATCCCATTGTAACTTCAAACAGTCACTAAATGAACTCTTGTAAATTGAGGACTACCTGTACTTTATAGTCAACATTTAACTGAAAGGCCAAGTAGATGAATTTATTGCAAAAGTTACATTTATTTTAATTATCCTTGGAATTCATACTTAGAAATAACTTTTCAAGATGTAACAAACACTGTAATGAAAATGCTTATTTGTAGCCCCAGAAAAGGGGATTGGGAAATGAACGCAATTATAATAAAAGTACAGTTAAATGTTTGATATGCTTGTATATGCTGTTTACAACTTGAAATAAACATGCTTCCCGTTGTGTGTTTCCTTTCACCCAATTCTGTTCTGATGCATCAAGAACAGATTTATTTATTTAATTTGCCCTTTTTAGTCCCGCTTTTCATTCAAATTATTTGATCAAAGAATGATGATTAAAGTAACTAAAAAAAGATAAAAGACAAAATATATATAATAAAAATATTAGAATTTTAAAACCTAGCTCAAAAATATCTTAATTTATGTTCTAAATTAAAGTAGGAATAATAATAATAATAATAATGTGCTAATTGGAATTGTCAGAAGTTAATGCAAAATCAGGATATTTGTTTATATTTTTTAAAAATAAGTCACAATGATTTAGTTTATAAAAAATAATTGATCTTGATTTCTTTCTATTAAGATAATTAGATGTTTGACATACTTATCTTTTTGTTTTCTTTTGACAGCTACATGAATTGACTAATGTTTCCACACACAATAGCTTCTGGGAAAAGAAGATGACTGTAAAGCAGGTTCATCAGTACAATAGAAAATATAAAACAGTGGTTTAGCTTGCATTTGCAAAATTTCAGGTCAGTTATGGGTACTGTCTTTAAATTTAGACATATTGTATATGGGAACTATTACGTCTTCTCCAATATTTTGTTTTTGAACTGACTCCATGTATGGGCTGAGAACCAATGCCAGAACAATGTAGAGGTTGTTTCAGTGCTTCTGTCTTACAGGTAGTTCATGCTTAATGGCCATGTTCAGTACTATTCAAAGTTACTGTCTGAGCAAAGGGCTTGTGTCTGGTTCCCTAAGTTATAGACATTATAGTGTCCCAGCTGTCATTAAAATTTAGGTGCTTGGGCATTTACAACTCTGTACTTCATTCGTCTCATTCCAACCTTGAGCTACAAATACTCTCATATTGGTATTTTCAGGTTATAGTATCAGTAAGATTAATTGCAGTTTTATTTACTGTGCTGCCTTTTACTGCTCGTTCTATATAATCTCTTGAAGAGTATCTATATATTGCAGTTGCAGTCAGTGAAAGATTTGACTTCTGAATTACTAACCAGTGAATAACTGGTGACTAGCCACTGTGTGCTGGTTTTCTGGTCTCAAGCAAAAGTGGTGGTCTTAATTTTGATGTTAAGCCATAGCTGTTGTAAGGACTTCATATTGAAGCATTTTGATTTACTAAGATTGGCAGGAGAATCCTTTTAGAAACATTTGTTTACAGAAGTCAACATATGGATCGTTTAAGATTTTTTTTTCCTTTGCAATTAAGATTATCATGCTGCAGTTTTGTAAAGGTACAGTATGGTTTATTAAAATTACTAGTGGGAGTTTATACTCTTAATGTTTTCTTTATCTTTGTGGTTGCAGTTGGCATGCATTTTCAGTAGGGACGGACCCATACATCCCACACACATACTTTAACTATTTTGTATGAATGTTATTTCATTGATTTTTCTCCCCTGCAGATGATTAAAAATTGATGAAGTTAAATTGCCAGAATTGATAAATATGGAAAATATTGGGGATATTTCAACTATTCCTATGACAGAGAAACAGCCGGTTATATTAGGAAATCAAAATACTGGGACAATGACAGGCACAACTCCTGCTCTTTATGTTCTTGTGAAGCAGAGTACTGGTAAACCTGATCAAGGAACCTTGCTTTCAAATCAAGATAACAGCAGTCTTCTCAGCAATGCAGCAAAACCAATGAAATCTAAAGCAAAGACATACCTTCCAGCTGATTGCGCTTCAGGGAATATCACTGTTATGCTGGACAACAATAATATGTGGAATGAATTTTATCATCGCAGCACTGAAATGATTTTGACCAAACAAGGGAGACGAATGTTTCCATATTGTCGATACTGGATAACAGGCCTAGAATCCAACCACAAGTATATCCTAGTCATGGATATTTCTCCAGTTGACAACTTCCGCTATAAATGGAATGGCCATAGTTGGGAACCTAGTGGAAAGGCAGAACCCCATGTGCTGGGAAGAGTATTTATTCATCCTGAATCCCCTTCTACTGGTCATTACTGGATGCATCAACCAGTATCTTTCTATAAATTGAAGCTTACTAATAATACATCAGACCAGGAAGGACATATCATTCTGCATTCTATGCATCGGTATTTACCTCGACTACACCTGGTGCCTGCTGAAAAAGCTACAGAGGTTATCCAGTTGAATGGTCCTGATGTCCATACTTTCACTTTTCCACAGACAGAATTCTTTGCTGTAACTGCATATCAAAACATCCAAATTACACAATTAAAAATAGACTATAATCCATTTGCTAAAGGATTCAGAGAAGATGGCTTGAGTAGTAGACTTCAGCGTGATGTGAAGCAAAATGGTAGCTCAGAGCGTGAAGGTAATAGTGTTACAAGTTCTCCTACTAATCACAGACATCTTCTTGAAGGAAGTATTTTGGATCCATCACAGAGAGAACTAGACCCATCACCGAGTGGGATATGTGACCCAGATCTGCAGAAAGAGTCCCTTAGTCCATATCATCAGTTCTTACATTTTGCGGAGACAGATGCACATGCAGGTGATGATCAAGGATTAAAGGAAGAAGCATCAGAAAGGTAGGGTTGTGTTTTTTACATTAAAAATAATCAGCATTTGTATAAAAATAAACAATTTATATTGGTCTCCATCACACAGGAGTGACTCTAGACCAGTGATGGTGAATCTTTTCGGCATCAAGTGCCAAAAAGGGAGAACGCGCCCTCGTCTGGCCTGCAACCCAGAAGAGGAGCTGCCCAGGGAGCATGCGCGCGCCGGGAAATGAATTTCTGGTTCCTGGAACGTGCATGCGCACTGGCCAGCTAGTCTTCCAGTTACTGGCATGCATGCGTGCACAATGATCAGCTGGCCAACGCACATGCTCATGCAGGAAAACAGAAGACCAGCTCTTCCAGTTTCTGGCACTGCTGCACGCACAAAGGCCAGCACGCCAGAAACCCAGAAGAGGAACGGGTGATGCCGTGCGTGCCAGGCGACATGGCTCCGTGTGCCACAGGTTCACCATCACATCTCTAGACAATGAATAGAAGATTAAAACCATAATTGACACAATGTACAAAGTAAATAGCCCAAAACAATAATATATGTTTATCTATAATATATGAGATCTAAAAATCATTCCTCTCGTAAACAATAACAGACAAGAATTAAACAGAGCAGTCAGCAGGACTCACTTAATCTTCTCACCCAGTTGTCTGATGGTACTTCTAGGTCTTCATTCCTTATACAGGATCAGAGCCATCTGGATTTCTGGATGTGTTACAATGGAGTGGATGCCCTTATTTCCACACAATAACACTTCTTGTTAGGGGGGACTTGGGGCATGCCAGCCTCATCGATATTGGTGAAGTGAGCAGAGACAACCAAAGACAAATGGTTCCTCAAATAGCCTGGTCTGGTGCCCTATAGAGTTCTTAGATAATAAACTAGCTCCTGGAAGTGCAGTAGAGATGTTACATGAGCGTCCTAAACTGCCCACATTGCTGCATTCTGAACGATTAGCAGCTTCTGAATATTCTTCAAGGGTGGCACCATGTAGAAGGCCTTACAGTAATCCAACTAGGAAATGACCCAGGCATGAGTTACTATGAGTAGAATCTCTTGATCCAGAAATAGGTGCAACTGGCACACAAGGTGAAGCTGCAAGAGTGTGAATCCAGGAGGACCCCCAAATTGCCCACCAGCTCTCCTTGAAAGAATGCTGCATATATCCTAACTGCCATAGTGCAGGACTGTCAAACTGCCGGTTTGTGGGTTGAATACCTCACTCGCAGGCCACACCCATCCCACCTCCACAAAGGCAAAAAACATTGTGATACGTCACGATCTGACCCGTGATGCGATCTGGTTTTACACCCATGCGATAATATAAGAACAAAGTGAGTGGAGTAATATTAATGAAAGTTAGTAAAATATGGAATGTATACATTTGTGAATTCTAATGATACATGTAAAGGGTTTTTAAAAATAAATCTTTCAGCCAAATAGCTATATGAAACTTGGAATATTTGTATTTTGGCTAGTGTTGAAAACTTTTATCTTATTACAATTCCAGCTGAAATGGTATTCAGACTGGATCAGTGCTTGATGTACTACTTCAAACCCAATTTACAAGTTCCAGAATGAATACATTGGTTCCAAATTATAGATTCATTAATAAATGCAGTTGTAGAGCTGTTAGGGATTATCTATGTGTTCATATATAGTGCCTACACAATAGAATTTGACAGTATTAACATATTATACATTATCTTAATATAGTGCTATTAATATCCTCCAATATAATTAAAATGTTTGAATGCTACTTTTGATACCCTTTTCTTTTTATATATTCTAAGAAAATGTTTTAAAAGCATTAAAAAACTTAAAAATTCAATTAAAATAAACTGTCAGAATTCATTTATCACAGCAATCCAGAGCTAAATAAATTAAATGCAGCTTTAGGTCAGGTTCATACATCATGTTATATTTTCAACAAATATAAAAATTAGATTCAGAAATGGCCTGTATGTCACTTTATTTTTTATTTCTACTGTTATTAAAAGCAGTGTGAATATAGAATACATTTAAATTTTATTTTAATTAAAATAAATGCACTAGAGCAGTGGTTCTCAACCTTCCTAATGCCGCAATCCTTTAATACAGTTCCTCATGTTGTGACCACCAACCATAAAATTTCTTCTTCCCCTCTCTTTCCTCCCCTCCTCCTCTCTTCTCCTCCTTCTTACTCTCTCTCCTACTCTTGCTTCCCCTCCTTTGCTTCCTTTGCTTTACCCTTTCTTCCTTTCCCTCCTCCTTCCTCCCTTCTTCCCCTCTCTTTCCTCCCCTCCTCCTCTCTTCTCCTCCCTCTTGCCCTCTCTCCTCTTGATTCCCCTCCTTTACTCCCTCTGCTTTACCCTTTCTTCCTTTCTCTCATCATTTTTCCTCCTTTCCGTTGTTGCCCTTGCTTATTTACTTTCTCTGATGGGTTCTCGGGGTGGCATTTCAGGAAACCCAACTTTATATTTTCATACATATCATTTTCTCTGTTACATTTTATTTCTAATGATAATTCCACTTGTATCATTTTTAAATTGTTTACTTGCATTGCATTTTTCTTTTGCTCTTTTCCTTTGTGCATGGTTTATGGTACTTTTACCAAGCAGGTTTTCATTGTGTGAATGGGGCCAACTCAGGCTCCTGAGCTTGGCTCTTGATGACTTGTGGATTTAGATATAGTTAAAAGTACCTGGCAGCGGCGTGGAAAACATAGCTGCGTGAACGCCCCGTATAATTACAACCCGGTGCAGGACTCCGGGCTGTAATAGCCCCTTCCTCCCTCGCAGGAACACTTTCCCTCCATTACAAAGTCTCTGTGGCTAATTGTACAGGGTGTGCGCACGCACCTATGTTTTTTACAGCGTGGAGCCTCGGCGATGCTCTTCGCGTCCACTCTGGAGCCCATCCGCAGGGATTTCAAGGAACGCAAGGTGGAATCTAAACTTTAGAGTAGTGTTGGTCTCAGCGACCCCTGTGAAACAATTGTTTGACCCCAAAAGGTGTCACGACCCACAGGTTGAGAACTGCTGCACCAAAGGAAGTACAAAGATCAGTGCTACTCTTATGAATGAAGGTAAAGGATTCTGCAGTACTAGTCTTGTTTTCTGAAGCATTACTAGATTGTATACATACATGGGCAGACTAGCAAAGGTCCTCTGTTTAAAAAACAACAAATTAAGGACTATCAAAAAGAAACATGCAGCAAAATGTAGATGAATTATCTTTAGAACATGGATTTCAAGATTAAGTTTTATGTTTAACTGACTTTATGGGAATAAAAATCCTTATTCATAATTCCAACAAATGGTTGGTTATGTCTCATTTTCCACTATCAGCTGTTTACAGTATATTATATTATGATGTAACATATTTCCAACAGGAAGTAGAAAGTCATTTTTTTCTCTCCAAATAATTATATTTACTGATAGAGAAAAAGTTGTTGACTGTAGCATTGCTTGATAAATTGATGCTCTTGAAAACTAGCTTACTTGGTATTATTTGCTTATAGAACTTTAACCCTTTTGTAATGCATTAATCCTTTTTTTCTTTCCTGCTATCCCTTCCCTATCTCCACCTAACTTTCTTCCCTTCCTCTGACTCCATATCCATACTGAAGTTTTGCTGGAAGAAGGGAGGGAATGAGTAGCCTATTTATTTATTTTGCTTAGTCTTCTTTTGGTGAAAAGTGTTTTCATAATCCAAAACTTTTTTTTTTAATTTTAACTTTGCTCCAAACAATGAATTTTCCATCCATGAAGTTGCTGTTGAGTTAACCTTAATGCTAATGATTTGTTGCAATGTGTTAATAAGAGAGTGATGCCTACAGGGGTGGATGTTTGAATAAGCCAAGTGTACTTTTCATGTCTGTCTGAAGAGAGAAGGTGAGAGTCTGCTTATTTCTGCAATTGAGTATTTTCTTTGCTTTCTTTTTTCAGTCCAATATCCAACCCTTGTCAAAAATTGTCACAAGTGACATCTCAGCTTACTCAAGAGGAAGGAATCAGCTTGTCTATTAAAGAAGAACCATTAGATAACTATGAATATGAACCTCTAACTTGCATGGAAGGGGTAAATGTGAAGGAAGAAGAAGCCAATAACATTGCAGAAGAATATTCCAACAGTAATGGCTCCATGTTGGAACAGCAGCTGGAGAAATACAGTGAAATGGATAAAATGGATATTGAATTCCACAAGGAACAACAAATAAACCAGTTGGGTGTTGCCAAAGCAAAAATGCTAAAATTGGATAGTGGGAAGATGCCTGTAGTTTACCTAGAACCCTGTACAATCATCAGAAATACAGTGAACGTTTCTGTTCTTTCACAGGCCTTAATGACAACTTCTAAGAATGAAAGGTCTGCACTGACTCATTCATTAGATTCTTTTCCTGCTCATTTTGAAAATAAAGGTGTTGCTAGTCCTTTTGAAATCCAGGGAACCGGGAAGATTAGAACTGATAAAATGGTATCTGAAAACACAGCACCACAGATACCTTCAGAAGAAGATGTGCTAGGTAGAAGTACTAAAACATGCAGCAGCCTCAATACAACTGAGAAGGTTTCTAGTTGTGATCTCAAGACTACTGCCACCAGCAGCCCTTCTTTAGCTAAAGTTATCTTCGATGACCAAAATATAAATACGTTGAAGACTCACATTTCTGGCAAGAGTATTGTTGGCAATCAAAACGATGGAATGTCAGGCCCAAGGAAACGAGGAAGACCACGGAAATCAAAGTTATCTGAAGCGGGAAGATCACCTAAATGCAGTGCAAAATGTGGTGCAACCAATAATGATGTCTCTTTGGGAAGTGGTAGTACCCATTTGGATGTTAATCCTGATCTTGAGGATGTGGATGGAATGCTTTTTGTATCCTTTGTATCCAAGGTAAATTTATATCCAAAATTTATACTTCTTTGGGATTCTGTATTATAATTCTTGCCATTTTCAAATGTAGTTTTAAATTATATACCTAAATCATTTTAAATTAATGTCAGAGTGTAGCTTTCTGTATCTTTGGAATGCCTCCAATATAATCCCTGCATAAACATTTTGTCAAAGTATGTTTTATTGTACATAGGAAGCACTTGATGTCCACAGTTTTGATAGAGCTGAAGAAAAAGAATTGCAAAATACACTGAACAATACACTGGCTACATGTAATCCATGCACTGATTCAGGTAACAATAATGGTTAAACTTTTTTCCTAATATATATCAAGTTACTAATATTATCAGTTATAGGTTCTGATTATTAACGAAGAGCAGGATTAGTATCTTCTTTATTAAGTGGAAGATTGATGTTCATAATATAGAGGGTTCCCATTGAATTCAATCTGGGAATGTAACTTCCAATAGAGAGGATTTTTCTCAGCATTACAGTTTGAAAGCCCTGAAAGAAAGAAATTACATCTCCTTATATCATTATTGATTCTTTCATCTAATATAATTTGTAGCGTAGATATTTTATAACTTTGGTCCCAGGTGGCTGTCTTTCTCTCACTCTACTACAAAGAAAGACATTGTAAGCATCTATGAATTTCTGCTAAGATTGCCAGACTGAAAAGTATAATGTAATAGATAAATTAATATTATTTCATGGCGCCTTGATTGATAAACTAAGGTTACTTTTTTCCATACAGTCTTCATTTTTGTAGCTAAAATTATTTGGGAATGTATAAACAAATAAGTCTGTTTTTGGCAGATGGTCAAAGAATACAACAGATGGAAAAAGAATTGTTAGCAGATTTAAAATCTTTTAAGTACAAACAAGTAATACACCCAAGTCTTCAAGAAGGTAGGTATAGGTACTGTGAAATACTCCTGATTATTTTTATTGTATAAATTACTCATTTTGTATTTAATGTCATGTATTGGATGTGACAAATTGATAAAAATGCAGAGATGTATGTAGATTGTCATCGTCAGAATAAGAAATAATTTGTATCAGATGGAAAATAATTTAGATAGGTTTGAAACTGAATCTTCCTCTACAGAGCATATCAATTGAATGTCTGTTTAAAACCAGTTGATTTAATACAAAAATATACAGAAACTGTACTCTGTATTTCCACTGTACACTTGTTTTACAGGTAGACCTTGAGTTACAAACATTTGAGCCGTGGTGGTGCAGTGGTTAGAATGCAATATTGCAGGCTAACTGCCCACTGCTAGGAGTTCGATCCTGACCGGCTCAAGGTTGACTCAGCCTTCCATCCTTCCAAGGTCGGTAAAATGAGGACCCAGATTGTTGGGGGCAATATGCTGACTTTGTAAACCAATTAGAGAGGTCTGTAAAGCATTGTGAAGCAGTATATAAGTGCTATTGCTATTGGTATTTGTTTAGTGAGCATTCAAATTTATGGCAGTGCTAAATGAAGGAACTTATGACTAGTACTCAAAGTTCCTGCTGCTGCAGTGCCTCCAAAGTCACATGATTCTGGAAACTGCATGCTCATTTATCATTTAATCACAAAAAAAGAAAAAATTCTGGATATCTCTAGGCAAATGAGAAGAAACTTGGAAGCTTCGAATTTTCCAGTTGGATTCCAGAAACAGAGGAATAAAACTATGCATGTAGAATAATATTCTCTTGTCTATTCTGTTGGCAAAAACAATCCTAAGAGTTGAAGAATAGGGATAGTATGAGAGGGCTAGGGGCTGTAATCAAATTGAGAAATTGTGAGATTATATTGTGAAAATGATTTTCTACTTCTGCAAAGTAATTTTGGCTCCAAGAAATGCTGACATTGGGAAGGGGAAAGTAAAAAGACAGATATAGATTGATGATGTCTTAATGTACCGTATTTTTCAGAGTATAAGACGCACCTTCCCCCAAAAAAGGGTGACAATCTGGGTGCATCTTATACACTGAATACAGCATTTTTGGCCTCCTGAAACACCACCCCCTTCACAAAAATGGACGTGCAGATGGTTTGGGAGGCCTGCAAAGTGATCCTGGGGGCTGGGGAGGGCAGAAATGAGTGAAAAATGGGCCGTTTTTGCTTGTTTCCCCCCCAGCCCCCAGGAGTACTCTACAAGTCTCCTAAAAGCAATGCATGTCCTTTTTTGGGCAAAAAACGGGGCAGTTTTTTGCTCATTTTTGCCCAAGCCCCCATTAGCACTATATAAGCCTCCTAAAGGTTATGCATGTCCTTTTTTTTTATTTTTTATTTTTTTTGGCAAAAAATAGACCCATTTTCACGAAAAACTGGCTGTTTTTTGCTTCCCCAGCAGCACTTTGCAGGACTCTCAAACTCTCTGCATGCCCTGTTTTTCACAAAAAATGGGGCGTGCAGAGGGTTTGGGAGGTCTGCAGAGTGCAAAACCTTTTTTAAAAAATTTATCTCTTCAAAATCTTGGTGCATCTTATACTCCGAAAAATACGGTAGATTGTGGCTTAAACTTTGGTCATTAAATCAGGTGTTTATAGTGGATTTCTTTTTTCTTTCCCCTTTTCAGTACTATATTTTTCTCATTAAGTTGAATTCTGGTGATGAATTGTATCAAGATTTAAATTCGGTATTGATACTGTTTAATGAAGCCATACTTAAGGTTAGCTAGATTTCTTCTAATAATTTATACTGGGAAGGGAACCAATTGAAAAGCATTGTTTTTCAACTTTATATTCTATAAAATAAAGTCCTTGAATGAGAAACCATAACTATGATCTTGATACACATACAAAATTGTTTTAATAATGGTATAAAATTTCTTCATTCCTTTAGTGGGTTTAAAATTGAATTTTGTGGACCCAACAATGAGCATTGATCTAAAGTATTTGGGTGTGCAGTTGCCATTAAGTTATTCAGAGGAATATGCTTCATGGAAAAATGAAGGAACGGATTCCAATTCTGCTGGTAAGTCAGCATCTTAATGTAAAGATTGCTTAAAATAAGTTGTAGAGTATTTATCTTTGAAGGAGATTTGCAACAATAGACCATGTTTTGTTTTACCATCTATAAATATATTGTTCAGTAAGGTGACTGCTTACACATTGTACAGCACATAGTTTGCTTCAGTTGTAGTTATTGGACAAATCATAGTCGTCTGGTTCACCCTTGTTAGGTCATAAACCATGGCTTATTTTATCTGCTGGGCTCACATTTGTACTAGGCTCAAAACAAACCACAGTATAAGATAGGTAAGATAACACAATCTGCATTTATAATTGGATGCTCCTTTTAAATAGTAAATGACAATATTGTTATATTAAACATCTGTAGCATTTGATTTATATTAAGCTCAGTAATTTAAATGAAAAGATATACTCAATTTGTAATACTGCACTATATCTTCAAAGAAAATAAATAACCCAGAGTATTTTCAGAATTTACATATGTAACTTATTTATCTATTTAACAAATTTATATAGCTGCCCATCTCACAAAACTGGATTGAGCAGTATATAATATATAACAACAAAAATAATAAAACACTAAGTAAAAACAAGAAAACAAAAAGTTTTTAAAAACTCAAGATAGCAGGGGAAACCATTGTCATATCACGCAAGCATCTTGCTAACTCATCATGAATAGCATGTTATAGTCATCCATTCTAGAGGTAACTATGGTAAGAATAACTGAATAAAGCCTTAAGGTCCAGGAAAGGGCACAGTTGGTACAGAACATGAAATTGCATAAAGAGTTGCAGGTCTAGAAGGACCATACATCTTAAGTACATGGTAGCAGCTATGTATTTGTGGGTATTGTAGCATGTTTTATACTTTGCTTGTCAAGAAAAATTATCTCACAGTTCTTTCGTTTCCTTTTTTCTCAACTCATTTATACTGCCAGATGCTGGACTTCATTTTATTTCAAGGACTGGAAAGACAAATGACATCACAAAAATAAAGGGTTGGCGAGGAAAATTTCACAACTCTTCAAAAAATGAAGGTAAGAGGAAAATTTTTGATGCAGAATGTAACTATAAGAAAATGAAATGAGAGAAGGAATGCATAGAATTTATGGTTTCAAAATGTTCTGTGGCTATAGATCACAGAGGACAAGTAATAAAGTATGCATATATATTTTATATTTTTGAAATAAGTTTATTTTAGAATTTTGTTTGATAAAAAATATTCAAGATTTCCCCCCCCCTCCCCCCCACACAATTTCTAAAATTACAGACCAAAAATTCATTGCATTATTAATATCTGGCTCCCATTCTTAGATGGCTTACTCTTGTTTGAAGCTTCCCAGATACATGACGGGGCAAGGGTAAAAAGGAAAGCTTGATGTATTATAGACCATATAAACCCTTGCTTGCCTGTCAACAGATCTTTTAGCTGAAAATTCAAACCAAATTCAATATTATAAGTGATTCAACAGCAACTCTGATTAAGTTTTAGATGAATATTGTACATTTCAAATCTGGGTTAATAAAATGTACTGTGCTCAAATAATTGTGTCATAATGTGATTCACTCTGCTAAGATAATATTTGTGCTGCAACAAGTTTTAGCACAAATATTGTTGCTAGTGATTTGGAAACTGCATAGTGTACTTTAGTAAAATTCCTGTAGTTTTTAACATTTCTAAGCTTAGCTAAGTATTTTGAAATACAGTTAATGGAATTTGTGCAAACATGTTGCAGCTTGAGATTTCAGGTACTGTATTTTTCAGAATATAACACGCACCTGTTTTCCTCAAAAAAAGAGGCTGAAAATCTGGGTGGGTCTTAAACATTGAATACAGCATTTTTTTGCCTTCACAAAATGACGGTGCATACCCTTATAGAGGCTTTCAGAGAGCTCCTGGGGACTGGAGAAGGCAGAAAT